ATAGATAGATAGATAGTTGTGTGCCTTTGACTGATATGCTAATGTTAATGAAATGTATAATTACTATTTCGTAGTGATAATGTCACTTTCTTAGTAACTTGTAAGTTAAGTTTCTTCACGCGGCAATAGTAGTGCGAGTTGTGTTGAGTTGATGTGAGGCTCAGTGTCTGACTGGCTTGAATCAAATCGAGCGATTCTTTTTTTATATATAGATATTTGGGTTTTCAAATAGGCTCTAGACAGCTGCGCGGCAAAAAAGGATTTATCTCACCTTGCTACATTTTTGTGTCCTTTTACCCAGTGGGAAGTTGAGTTTGGAAAAGTGAAGTGATGATTGGTTAAAGGTTAATTTGGGGGAAGAGTGCATTTTCCCGTAGGGGATGACAGGCAAGTATGGAGGATTCCATATATGTATGTATGTATGTATGTATGTATGTATGTATATAATCAACGAAGATTAAGAACTCGGGACCTCGAAAATGGCTTCATAAAATCTTTTTCTTAATTTTTCAGGAAAATAGGTTTCTCAAGTCGAGTAACTTATCATCCATTCCCGTATTGATGGGGTTTTCCTTCCTAACCTTCAGTTTTAAGTAGTGTGGAATATCAACATGTTGATTATGTCATTATTTTCACTTTGTAATATATGTTATTTAATTTAGATATTGTTGCTGTGGAAAATTCTCAAAAGATCCTGTTTATCTTATTTGGTACAGTTATTTCTCTTTCCATTACTGATGGAGGATTTCTTGCTATGTTTTTGTTTGATTGAGTGTACCACATCACCGTCTTGATTATATCATTATTTTCTCTTTGACTTACATGTAGTATTAATTTTAGATATTTCTGTTTTTTGAAAGTCATCATGTGATGTGGTTTCTGTTATTTGGTCGGCTTCTTTCTTTCGAATTCTGTAGCACCAATCCACAATTTTTCTTCTTTTTTCTGCTTTAAAGTGATTTGCTTTTACCTCATAGAGAGCTCTCTCGTCTTTATAGTGGTTTATCATATTTAATAAGAAAAGCAATCCTTGTGAAACCAAAGGCTAAAACATGGTAAAACCAAGAGTATTTATTCTGAGCAATTTAAAGTTTAAACAATCAGTCGAAAAAGCAAAAACTGGACAACCAAAATCACATGTCAGGCCCGTGTTCCAATAGTCTTTCTCACTTGAAAAATGGGTTGGTTGAAACAAAAGGTTCTATGTCCTTAGCTGTTCAAAACATCTAAATGAAAATACCAGAAAATAAAAGCTGACATTCTGAACTCTTGTTGTATATTCATCTTTTGATTTTAAACGCAAATGTCTACAGTGATCAAAGTAATTGGCCTCGCCGTTCCAATAATTATGGAGGTGATTGTGTATATATATATATATATATATATATATATATATATATATAAACAATAAAAGAATATTAAAAAATTAATATCTTCAGACACACTCGGTTGTAGATTAATATTCTTTCGTTTGTTTTATTATTATTTCATTTAGATTCCTCGACTAGTTTCGTCCAAAATGGCCATCATCGGGAGGGGAAATATTTCTGCTTGCTGGTAGCAGTAAACTACAGAAATAAATGTCTTGATGGAGAAAAAAATATATATATATAATAAAACAAATGAGATAGATATATAGATAGATAGATAGATAATGAAGCGAACATGATAGGTAAATAGATAGATAATGAAGCGAATATCATAGATAGATAATGAAGCGAATATCATAGATAGATAATGAAGCGAATAAAATAGATAGATAGATAGATAGATAGATAATGAACCGACTGTGATAGCTAGATAGATATATAGATAGTTAATGGACCGACTGTAATAGATAGATAGATAGATAGATCGATCGATAGATAGATAGATAATGAAGCGAGTATGATAGGTAAATAGATAGATAATGAACCGAATATTATAGATAGATAGATAGATAGATAGATAGATAGATAATGGATAGAATAAGATAGATAGATAGATAGATAGATAGATAGATAGATAGATAGAATGCGATAGATAGATAATGAACTGAATGAGATAGATAGATAGATAGATAGATAGATAGATAGATAGATAGATAGATAATGAACCGACTGTGATAGCTAGCTAGCTAGATAGATAGATAGTTAATGGACCAACTGTAATAGATAGATAGATAGATAGATAGATAGATAGATAGATAGAACATATTGATTTAGATCGTCAATTTGTAAAATATATATATGCAAAGCATTCATTACTACATATATGCCATTTTCGGTGACGATTTATTTTAACAGGGAACAATTGTGTATAAACACAGCTAACATTCGTTTGTGTGTATGTATGTGTGCGTGTGTGTGTGTATGTATGTATGTGTGTGTGTGTGTGTGTGTGTGTGTGTGTGTAGAAGAGAATTTACCTGTGTTCGGGGAAAGATAAGGCTTCCTTAAGGAAAAGCAAACTCAATCATTTGATCTCGTCTTAGAAGCAATCAGCTTACTGAATGAGGCACAGTGTTGCGGGTATATTTGTCTTTGAAACATCTTCCCGTTTATTCTTTCCCTACCCCCCCGCCAACCCGTTCTCTCCTCCTCCTTTCGGTTTCTTTGCTTTCCTTTTCTTTCGCTCACCCCAAACCACCCAGAATATTTTCATCATAATCTATTTCTCTGTGTTTTTTCTTTTCCTTTTGTCTTTCTCTCTCTTATTGTTAGTACCTAGAAGGGTGTGCAGGTGGTGTAATGGTTCATGGTTCAAAATTCTTAATAGGAGAACCCAGTTACAAATCCTGTTGGATTCGTGATATTCACTTAGGTACAAATACCCTTAGAAAAGGTATGAATCTAACACTTCCCCCCAGCTATGGGTTAATTAGTATCACTATACCATCATTATCTCCAATGATGAAAATTCTTAGAAGCTATAAATATTTTCTGGCTTTAAATAACCTACAATCGGTTGATAAGCCGTAGAAAACGAATTAATCAATGAAATATTTATTAGGCAAGTCTTTTCGATTCATTTACATACTCTTTAATATAAATGTATAGAAACAATAAGTGAAATCTCTATCAATGAAAGGCAGGATGTGTGTGTGTGTGTGTGTGTGTGTGTGTGTGTGTGCGTGTGTGTGTGCGTGTGTGTGTGTGTGCGTGTGTGTGTGTGCGTGTGTGTGCGTGTGTGTGTGTGTGTGTGTGTGTGTGTGTGTGTGTGTAACGAATGCACGGACACAATTTTCGACGGATTTGCACTACACTTTACATGCACATGCTCCAAGTTAGCGGGAAGGCCAAGACCGACTTTGCATTTCCCAACTCCCATCGATAGTGGAAATAATAGATTTTTTTCATGCTACTACGGCAGTTTTCTTGTAGTTTGCGGCCATTTTCTACTAGCCAGAATGAGAGCCTATAGCTGGCTGCCACGATTAGGCAGGAAGATTCTATTGGCCCGCGTGTGAGCCAACAGCTGAGTGACACGAATGTTAGCTAGCATGCTAGCATGCAAAAAAACAAAAAAAAACATCGATAGCTGCATTCATCACAAGTGGGAAAAATTTAAATCTGTATGGCACTTTATTCCAATTGGCTCATTCGCTTGCTTAAATTCAACGTTGATTCTGATTCCGCAGAACTGGGTTTGGTGTGAAAAAGTATTTGTTGTTAACATTCTTTTTTCATTCGGTTTTTCCAGTTACGAGTCCTTTTTTTACAGCTGATTGTTTTGTGTTCATTTTGTTTAGTTCTTTTTTCGTAACAGATTTAATGTTTAGTAAAGAGCTTGGAAAAAATTCGCATTGTGAGATAGGCAAGAAGTAAGGCATGTAGCAACATCAGCACGGAAAAGGGCACTCGTTTAAAGGCAAGGAAGGGCAAAAATATTTTAAGTCAAGTGACAGCGATTGCTGTATGAGTCGTACGATATTTTACTCAAGCACGGGCAACGCCGGACCATGCTGCAAGTCAGTATATATATTGATTCTAATATATAATTAACCCCTCACTTTATATGTTCATTATAATTGCTTGTTTATCAAATTTTGATTAGTTATGACCACAATTATTCACCCACACGCAGCTATGGGTTAATTTTGATCATTATTTCGTCCACCGGAGAAGATTTTTCTAGATTGTTCGGTTAGAAATTCCAATCCCTTGAAAATGGCCTGAGTGTACATCGGCCGAAACGTTGTGAATATGACATTGAAGATGAAGATAACACTCCGAGTAATGTAAATAATATAAGTAAATATTTGGTATTCTTTATTGGGCGCTTTTAATCAAACTCCCGATATGGTGTTTTTCTTGGGAGATTTGAAGTAATATAAATATATGTTATTCTGCTTTCACAGTTGAATACATGGTAGATGATACTCAGCTTTTTTGCATACACATGTTTGTGTGGACATAATTACTAGAGGCTGCGATCTGTGTTTTGTTATATTTTATACTTTTTAAAAACATTTTGATTTTAAACTTTGTAGGATATATGGATTACTTACCCGGCGTTATGCTGGGGGTTTTGACAAATATGGCTGAGATTCGATCAAGGCTTCGACTAGCTTGTTAGGACAAGTCATGACCAGCTTTGACTAAGCTCTGACCAGCTTGGACATGCTTTGACCAATTTTGACCAGTGGCCTTTGAGTGGAAACACTCGGGTTTCCCACGTTAAACGACCTTGTGTCACATCTTGACCTTGTGGGAGTTAAGTAAATACCTATACCTATATGGATTGATATCTGTCTATATCTCTGAGATGAGGTATTATGATTAATTGTATTATTTACATTATTCGGACTGTTATCCTCATCTTCATTGGCATATTCAGAACATTTGGGCTGCTGTATGCAGCGGCCTTCTTCAGGTGATTAGAATTTCGAACCGAACGTTTTATTTCGTCCACAGAGGTAGATTATTCTAGTTCCACATGGACATGTGGATAAAGACGTTGGTTAGATTCATTTACAAGACCCAAAGTGTTGTGAGTTCAATACCAGGTCACAGCAGTGGCGAGCCAAAACTTAGAGAGTTGAGTTAAAGGGAAATAACTGAGAGATCTGGAAGAGGCATGGAACGTGGAACTAGAACAATCTACCATTGTGGATGAAATAAAGGTTCCGATTCGATATTACGACCACCTGAAGAAGGCCGGAGCTTACAACGGCCGAAACGTTGTGAATATGACAATTCTGGTGAGGATAACAGTCCAAATAATATTTCATCTCAGAGATATAGACAGATGTTATTTATTTAATTTGTATTATTTAATTTTTACTTGTATGATTCTCCTATTTATATATAACAATCACACACACACACACACACACACACATATATATATATATATATATATATATATATATATATATATATATATATATATATATATATATATATATATATATATATATATATATATATATATATTGGTTCACCGCTGCCTGGTATTGAACTCACAACTCTTTGTGTTTAGTCACTGGAACTAACCAACGTTTTTATCAACTGGGTTATCTGTCCTTGAGGACATCTGTGAATGAATCTTTGGGACTGAGAAAATTACTGTCTCAGCAATTTTTTTTTTTTACCGGTGCTCATATCGCAATTTTTGTTATAATTTCATTTTTTTTTTTACCAGAGCTAATATTTAATTTTTTGTTGTTTTTGTTGCGAATATGACGTTGAAGTTGAGGATAACAGTCCAAATAATGTAAATAATAGAAGTAATCATAATGCCTCATCTCAGAGATATAAACAGACATTAAGAGATTCTGTGTAGGGTTGATAAACCATAGGAAACAAATCAATAATATGTGACAAAATAATATAGTGTTTTTATCGAGCAAGATTTTGAATTAAAGAAATGTGCAGCTTTTGTTTTTGTTTCTTTTAGTTTTGTTTTTGTTTTTGTTGTTTTTTTTTAATTGTTTTATTAAGTTAAAATAGGCGTTACGAAATAAAACCTGACATCCAACCTCGTTTCTATTGATAGAAGCATTACTGGAATTTTTTTTTTTTTTTTTTTTTGAGGGGTGATATTGAGCAAATATCGTATTTCCTTAGATTTGTTCGACCTCTTGGAATCTTGTTTCTTTCAAGTGGGATTTGGTTTTTGAGGAGAAAATGTTGCAAGGGGAAAAAAACTGGAGACTATTGTGGTTGTCGGACTTGGGTCATGTTATGTTTTGCCAAAAACTGCGGCATGTTGTCAGTGATGGGGCCTCTGTAATGTGGCGCAACGACCACACTCTACACACTTTCTTTCCATGTTTTAGGAAAAAATTCTTGTTTCTTTCCTTCTCTCTCTCTCTCTCTCTATCTCTCTCTCTTTCTCGATTTTATTCTCGGCTTTCACGCGTTTTCACACTGATCATTTACTCCCTTTTTAATTCCACGTGTTTTTCCTTTCCCTCTATCTTCTTTCTCTTTTAACTCTTACTCTTCTTGTCTCTTTCTTTTCTTTCTTTCTTTCTTTCTTTCTTTCTGTTCTTATTTGTTTCTCACTCTCTTTTCTCTCGATATTATTCCCGTCTTGCCCAATTTTTAACACTGTTCATTTACTTCTTTTCAACTCCACGTATTTTATCCTTTCCCTCTATCTTTTTTCTCTTTCTATCTCTCACTCATCTCCGTTCTTCCCTTTCTTTCTTTCCTTGTTTCTTTCTTTCTTTCCTTCTTTATTTCTTTGTTTGTTTGTTTCTTTCTTTCTCAGTTCCTATTTGTTACTCTCTCTCTCTCTCTTTCTGTCTCGATTTTATTCCCATCTTTCCCGCTTTTCACACTTACTTTTTTTCATTTACTTTTTTTCAACTCCTCTTATTTTTTCTTTCACTCTATCTTTTTCTCTTTCTATCTCTTCCTCTTCTCGTCTCTTTCTTTCTTTCTTTCTTTCTTTCTTTCTTTCTTTCTTCCAACTAACCCCCTCACTTCTTTTCCTCCCTTTTCATATTCTTCGTTTCTTTTTTCTTTCTTTCTTTCCATTTTTATTGCTCTCAGTGCCTTTCTTTCTTTCTTTCTTTCTTTCTTTCTTCCAACTAACCCCCTCACTTCTTTTCCTCCCTTTTCATATCCTTCGTTTCTTTTTTTCTTTCTTTCTTTCCATTTTTATTGCTCTCAGTGCCTTTCTTTCTTTCTTTTTTTCTTTCTTTCTTTCTTTCTTTCTTTCTTTCTTTCTTTCTTTCTTTCATTCTTCCACCTAATCCCCTCACTTCTTTTCCTCCCTTTTCATATCCTTCGTTTCTTTTTTCTTTCTTTTTTTCCATTTTTATTGCTCTCAGTGCCTTTCTTTCTTTCTTTCTTTCTTTCTTTCTTTCTTTCACCTAATCCCCTCACTTCTTTTCCTCCCTTTTCCTATCCTTCGTTTCTTTTTTTCTTTATTTCTTTCCATTTTTATTGCTCTCAGTGCCTTTCTTTCTTTCTTTCTTTCTTTCTTTCTTTCTTTCTCACATCAAAAGCTAACTCTCCTTTTCCTCCCTTTCAAATCACTTTTACTTTACGCTTAATCCCCGGTTAAGATATTCGAAAAGGATATTTTTTTTTTATTTTGCTTCCGAAAAGCGAATCAAACGGTAGATAAAGAAAACCTTACAGAGTCATCCAGGAATTAACCCCAGGAAAATCTGAAGCCTCGCTTACGGTGGAAGATATTTTCGGATTACTTCTTCTTGCGTTTCGATACACGAAGAGACGGCGACGAATTCTACAATTGAGCACCATTTTCTTCATTCCTTCACACTGAGCATTTGAGCATTATCTATGATTTTCATATTCATTTGTAGAACATGGATTTTTCTAATATTGAATATTAAAAAAAATCTAGGCCAAAAATAAAAAAAAAATTAGGTATATAACCAGTGTTTTTATATATAAAAGCTGCGAATGGCAAATTGTCGTCATTTTCTATTTTTAATTACGTGTATTCGCTTTTGTTTATGATTTTGTCGGCTGGACAGTATAGCAGGGTCAGTTGGACACCTTCTCTGACAAAAAGAGCACCATGACGCAATTCTCCCTGCCAGGAATTTGGAAGCGGCAACCTGTACTTCTTGACATTCGCGCCGGAAGTTAGAATACGAACATTTAAGAGTGTTTGGGTGTCAATCTGAGGGCAGTGAAGGGGACTCGGAACGAGTTGGAGGAGTCTAATTGTGACTACGAAGGTATTTGGCTTGATCACTAGTGATGGCAACGTTATTCATCCATTCATCTTCCCACAGGGCATCAGACTCAACACGGTGTCCTACATCAAGTGGCTTGAGGGGGTAATGCAGTTGGAAGACCCTGTATCTGGCAACAGGACTCTGCATCACGCCTCACAACGAGGAGAACACAATCATGTATGTGAGACAAATTCTGCAAACACAGCACCCCTTACATCTGGCCACCTCACTTCCCAGATTATTATTATCAACCACACTTGATTATTATGTGTGGGGAGCATTTGAGCAAGAGACCAACAGAACTCCTTGTAACACCAAAGATGAACTGAAGGCAAGAATTATAGCAGATTTCAACAACTTAAAGAAGGAGAAGAGTTGGAGGAGATTTCCAAGGTTGTCTGCAGGCTGTGGTTGAAGCCAATGGCGACTTTAATGAATACATTTACTCTTTAGTATTTAGATATTTTTGAGTAATTTTGCTAAATATATCTGTTAAAATGAAATGTCAGTGTTATTTCTATTTTTACATAACAGAAACGACAATCTATCTTTCTCACGGGCTGCAAATTTCATATGTTGACTATGAAGGAAAGACACTAGAGCTTTCAAACCTTGCATGTATTAATTTCAAATCTTCTTACTGAGAACTGCACTATTACATGCGAAGGTGGCCAGAAAAAAGTTCATCGCCTGACTATGATAGGAGGATGGTAGAGATGGGGAATCTTACTTGCGTTAATTCCAATTCATCTTCATAATAACTGCATTGTTTCTTTCCAGGTAAACTGATATCCGGACATTATTTATATAATACATATATATATATATATATATATATATATATATATATATATATATATATATATATATATATATATATATATATATATATATATATATATATATATATATATATATATATATATATATATATATATATATATATATATATATATATATATATATATATATATATATATATATATATATAATACATATATATATATATATATATATATTATATATATATATATATATATTATACATTACATAAACATTCAATTTACAAATTCATGAATTATTCACACAAAAACAAAAGCAAAGGTTAATGATTTAATTATGAGAAATCCATCATCGCAAACAATTCAAATAATATACAAAAACCTCCGAACCCGTTATGAATGAATTGATCCTTGTTTCCATAAATTTTTGCCGTATTAGTTCTTATTTTTACTACAAGCTTTCGTCTGTTCCTACAGACATCTTCTTTTTGTGTGAATAATTCATGAATTTGTAAATTGATTGCACGTTTATCGTAATTTAAATAACTGATCCAAGTGCGACTTTTGGATAATAAGTGCGACATTACTGTAATTATTGAACAATATAGTTCATGCCACTTTGACAGAAAATTTACCAGTAAAAAATTCGTTCATCACCATATTTATATGAACGCACAACATTTAAAAATTTAAAATCAAACTCAGCGTTGCTTTTGCGCGTTCAAAAACAATAACTCATTTTCAATAGCATTTTCGGATACAACAATACATATATTTTCGTTGTCCTCTTATTACTAAGAGAAAAAACAAGAACAACATCTATTCGATACCTGAAGATGTCTGTAGGAACAGACGAAAGCTTGTAGTAAAATAAGAACTAATACGGCAGAAATTTATATAAACAAGGATCATTTCATTCATAACGGATACGGAGGTTTTTGTATATTATTTGAATTGTTTGCGATGATGGATGTCTCGCCATTTAAATCATTAACCTTGCATTAGTTTTTGTGTGAATAATTCATGTATTTGTAAATTGATTGCACGTTTATCGTAATTTAAATATATATATATATATATATATATATATATATATATATATATATATATATATATATGTTATAAATTAATTGATTTAAAATATGTTTTTTCCGCTACACAGTTCTAACTATGTTCAAAAATGGAAGCTAAAAGCCCCGAATTTAATTTTGTAATTAAATTAAAGACATTAGTTCCATTTCATCCTCAAGCGAATTTTGGAGTAACTTTTAAAATTACGTTGCAAATAACTGATACATTAAAACTACGTAGCAATAACTGATACATTAAAAATATAGACACCGATACAACCCTTGTCTGGTAAATTGATCCATCTGTAACCTTGGAAACATGAATTATGATTTTAGCTTTGTCTTCAAAACTCAGTAACTTGGATAGCGAGTGGTCTACCGCAGAAAGAAATGCCAAACTACTGCGTAAAATAATCTGCCTCATCAGTCATGTATCGAAAGATACGCATGGCACCCGACTTACTGACTGTAGAGGGAGATAGGGTCGTATATTTCCTAAAATAATTGGTGCCAATGTAATCACAATAGACATGACCGGAATTTAAACGTGGATTGACTCTTCGACATTTGGCGCCAATATCCGTCACACTAACCGCATAGCCATTATTTTCTTTCTTGCGAATATTATTATGGATCCTGTCTCATTTTGTTGGCTTTATCTGCTGTCTTTCTTTCATTCGATCGAGAATTTCACATGTTTTTTTTTTCCTCGAAACGAATGCATCTGCCGTTTGTCCGAGTTTTTAGCTTAAGGTGTTCCAGTTTCTTTGTTGTTGATTTTTTTTTCTTTATTTCTAAGCTATTTCAACTATTCTTTTCTAATTTTTGCCTACATGTGTCATATGTACAAAGAAAATCACTATTGTTCTAGTTCCACGTGCCATGTTTAATGGATGTCAGTTGTCAGTTATCTCCTGTTAACTCCCATCTCCAGTTACTCCCCTGCCTTAACTCACACTCTTTGGGTCCTTTCACTGGATCTAACCAACGCCTCTATCCACTGTGCCATGTGTCTTTGAAGACAATAGTCCGAATAATGTAAATAGTATGCATAATACCTCATCTCAGAAATATAGACAGCTACTGATGAATCAATCAATTTAAAGCGATATTTTCTACTGTATGAATAAGTTTATCTTTTTCTTTTTTACTTAATTCGTCTGTCAAATTTATTGTATTTAACCTGTTTTTCTGAAATTTGAATTTTATATTATTTTTTGGCATCATACGGGGCATTAGACTCTGAGAAATGGATAAAAATATTCAAAGTCGAAGGGTGTACGAATAATTTCGTAGTTTTATTTGTTTTTTTGTTTTTTTTCGCGTGCCAAGTTTAATGGATGTCAGTTGTCAGTTATCTCCTGTTAACTCCCCTCTCCAAGTTCTCCACTGCCTTAATCGGGTATTGAACTCAGACTCTTTGTGTCCTCTCACTGGATCTAACCAACGCCTTCATCCACCGTGCCATGTGTCCTTGACGACATCTGTATCGCAGTAATGATGCTTTTATATGCTGCTGTTGACTTTTTATCCACAGGATGAAACCCACTTCACGACAGAATGAAAACTACCTCATGTTATTAACCATGTTTACCGTAGTCTCTGAATATAGAATCCAGTGACGTCCGTCATGTGTTCAATATCAGAGGTTGGCAGTGAAGATTCGGAGAAAGTAGCAGCTGTTAAGTAATTCTTTAAGTTTTCGATATCAGAGGTTGGCAGAGAAGATTCGAAGAAAGTAGCAGCTGTTTAGTAATTCTTTAAGACATCGATATCAAAGGTTGGCAGTGAAGATTCGAAGAAAGTAGCAACTGTTAAGTAATTCTTAAGTCTTCGATATCAGAGGTTGGTTGAGAAAGCAGCAGCTGTTTAAGACTCTTCGACATCAGAGGTTGGCAGAAGATTCGAAGAAAGTGGCAGCTGTTTAGTAATTTTAAGGCTTCGATATCAGAGGTTGGCAGTGAAGATTCGGAGAAAGTAGCAACTGTTAAGTAATTCTTTAAGTCTTCGATATCAGAGGTTGGCAGAAGATTCGAAGAAAGTAGCAGCTGTTAAGTAATTCTTTAAGTCTTCGATATCAGAGGTTGGCAGTGAAGATACGAAGAAAGTAGCAGCTGTTTAGTAATTCGAAGTCTTCGATATCAGAGGTTGGCAGTGAAGATTCGAAGAAAGTAGCAACTGTTTAGTAATTCTTTTAAGTATTCGATATCAGAGGTTGGCTTTTCGAAGAAAGTCTAATTCGATATCAGAGGTTGGCAGTGAAGATTCGAAGAAAGTAGCAGCTGTTTAGTAATTCTTTAAGTCTTCGATATCAGAGGTTGGCAGTGAAGATTCGGAGAAAGTAGCAACTGTTAAGTAATTCTTTAAGTCTTCGATATCAGAGGTTGGCAGTGAAGGTTCGAAGAAAGTAGAAGCTGTTAAGTAATTCTTTTTAGATATCAGAGGTTGGCAGTGAAGATTCGAGAAAGTAGCAGCTGTTTAGTAATTTTTAAGTATTCGATA